TTCCAAAGTACTTCAATTTCAACCTCTTTGATCAATCATATACATTTGCACCGATTTATCAGGATTTTATTTTTAAAAAAAATGGAGGAAACATGATAGAGATAGATGACAAATTTCTGCGAGGATTCGATGAATGAATACCCGAGAGTGATATTATTCACATTACCTCGAGTGTGTCTATATATAATTTCTCATTTAAACAATGGTTCACGAGCGATGCATTTGCACCGTGTAGCAGCAATGCAATTCTACTTTAACATATCGATTCACGTACGTCGAAAGTTTCAGAAGGCCACGGCAATACGATTGAACGAGCAAAGCCTCTAAAAGAGACGAGAACTTTTACACGAATTTAAACTTTCCATCAAGGTTATACATATTATTAATTTTTCTAGTAAGACCTAAACATATTGGTAAAGCCGAAGTATGGATGTTTTTATGCATTCATGAGAAATACGAATATGCAAAAATGGATATCTTCGAAAGAGTTTATTTTATCGATTCGTAACGAATGTAGTATGATTGTAACAATTATTCTCAATGTCATGGTATACCTTCACGTGCATAAACTAACAGCCATGAATAAAATAACTTTCATGATATAATTAAATGTAGATAGATGATATAACAAACACGAACTTTTTCCCCTTCCTCTCCCCTTATAACTATATACAATACGAATTCTGATATGCATATTTCTCCAGGCATCGCATGACTCTGCTTCTCGCTGCATTTCGTATCAAAATAAAAATAAATTTGATCACATTTAAAGAGAGATATCATTTCACAACGTTAAACAACATTTCCAACATTTTGAATCTAGCAATCAATTACCACGTAACGAGCCTGTCTCATCAATATCATTTACCGTAAAATAAATTTTTCTCTTATAGTAGATTTAATTACATCGAATGGAGGCTATATTTGTTCGTTTTTCGATAGAAGGAAGAGGATCCCGTCGTTTTTGATGGACAACGAACCGATCAAAGATCGATCCTCGATCGGTGTTAATGAAATTAGCGGGCGATGGCCGAGGGATAAGACGCTGTGCAGAGCGGAAAACGCGGATGAGAGACGGATTCGCGCGGAAGAGTCGGCCCAGCCGGATACCTGATATCGGTATTAACTCGACCATAAAGCATTCCGCAGGCCGCGTCCACAAAGTGATTGCGATTGCGCCTCGGGCATTACAACGCGCAGATTTATGAACAGGAGTTGCCTGCGAACGTAAGTCAAATCCCCTCGGGACCCGTTCAACAGAAAATCGTTTGCACATGTGTTGCTCGAGGCACGCATCCCCGAGAAACGAGTGCACGGTGTATGCACAGGGTGTCTATCTTGTTTTAGATTATACATATAGATTATAGAATAGTTCTTTAATGCAATTTGAAATTTACTATTTTCAATTTTTCTTCCCAACTTTTATTATTACGCTCTTATATCACTTGACAAATTTTATTTCTCTTTAGACGAGGATAAAATGGCGTGTATGTGTATGTCCGTATACGATTGAGTTATTTATTGATTCGCAGAAGTATATTATGTTAGCTCGCGTTTAAATTATCTTTCATTTATACTTGAATTAATAAATTGAGAATGTTATATTTGAGAAAAATTGGAAAGGAGATAGGATAAAGGTTTCATTTGTGAAAGAAGAACGAAGGGAATAATGATATATGTATATGTATAAGGGATGGTATGAAGAATGGTAATGAAGCGGATCTAAAGAGGATCTCGGATGATTCTGCCGCGAGGATTCCGATCCAAATTGTCAGAATCCTTCGAGTCTGGAGGGTGTTGGAGACGTTACAAAATGCGTTCCGCAATGCAGACACCGCGGAACCTTTGTACAGCTCGATGCCAGCTGTGAGGAGTGCCAAGTAAAAACTGAATATTTGTCGCCTTAATATGTCCAATAAATATGCTTCAAATTGCGAGAAAAGAGGCAGCAGATGAAAAGCAAGCGGAGCATTCGATTTATCATATTCAAAATAGTTTTAGATCAACGACTATTTTTAATTTTGTCAATAATTAAAATATCTACAATATCTCGTTTATCCTATTGAAACTCACGAAATCTTTGATCAGTTGTCAGATAAAAGCAAAAAAAAAAAAAAAAAAATCACTACACACTTCAAAAAATCAAAATTTATGATTCAACCAAATAGATACAAAAACAATAAGTAGAATAATCTAAATCGTCAAAATACTTAATATCTCGCTTACTAAAATCCAAAAATTTTCTTTCTATTTCAAAATGACAATATAACAGCCAAGAAGAGATTCGAACCAACCTAAAAATATACACGATTGCAATAAAAACTTACTTAACGAAATATTGGCGACCAATCGCAAAACAAAATCGCAATCAGATCGAAAAAAATCAGGGAAAAGCAGATTTTCTTCTATTTCACCAGAAATAACAGGAATATCTGGACAATTGGTAACCCCCGCGGGGGTTAAGCCGCGGCTCGCAATAACCGATCGGCGCACAAACACAATTCCACCTCTTTCTCTCTCTCTTGTCGGCCGTTTCATTTGCAAATATACATACTTCCTGGCATGCTGGCCGGTAATGGCCGTTCGAAATTGCTCGATCTCAATAAAATGGCCACGAAACTTCGCGAACACTGAATATATAGACGCGGCGCGCCAACACCAGCGCGAAGAGGGGCGCGCGTGTGCATCGATACAGGTGAACGCACACGCGCACGCGAATATCTCGTTGCAATTTTACATAGAAACCCGACCATCCTACGGAATTTATATTTCTCGTTATCTCTCCCGTGCGTGGCGCGCATGTGCGCCGTGCATACATCGCCGCGTGCAACACCGCCGGGACAATTTTCGCGTGGAAAAGTTAACGTTTGCGGCACGCCAGCCGCGGAAGCGAGGAATATTTCATTCTGGGAGATCGCTCGCTTCGTTTCTCGTGTCTTGACTACCTCTTTCGGAAGACGAATAGGGACGGAGCGTTGCGTCTTCTGGTCGAACGAAATTGGGAACGTAAGTTTTCGAGATGTGCACGTTTGGGTTAACCAGTTTTAGATAGGTTAGGTGGTTTATATTATGGATGCTTAAAATTTTAAAAGGAATTTCATTTTCCTTTCATCATTTATCAGAGAGAATTTCATCTCTGATTGCGAGAACGTTATTTTTCCCGTAACGGTTTGAAGTTCTTTCGAAAGTTTTATCTATTGTGTGCGGTGAACGTTCTAAATCTGATTTCAATTTCTGCTACGGAGCTTTTTTTTCTTATAAATCGAAATGCTTCTTCAAATTTTTTTATCCGTCGTCGATAGACCAACTCGTTCCTATATCAGATAAAGGAGGTAATCTCTGCATTCAAATCTCAAGATCAAATTAATCAAAAGTAGGGAAACTTGTAGAAAAAAAGAAAAAAAACATGGTTTATCGCGAAATCTTGGAAAGTTTCGTATTTGTACAGGATTACGTGACAAAAGTCGAAAGCGAACATTTGAAAATCAGATTTCTAACTCCGTTCCAGAGAATCCTTCCTTCTAATCCACGAGGAAGCTTTCCCGTGCGATATCTTCGTGGAAGGTTCGCAAAGATCGAATCATCGGCTCCAGGAATGAAATTGCCCCAAAAATTTAAATCAAAAGGATCAAGGATATCGAGTTCCATTAACTCTGAAAAAGCCAAGCGGAGGATTCGTCCGAGATATTGATTAAAAAAATATTCAAATCTTATCATTCGTGTATTTGCAGTATTCAATTAAAATGCAATCTCTTGTGAATCTCTTGTATCTACATTAAAGAAAAATGATACGTACGAATACTTCCCAAATAATAATAGAAATAATACAATTTTTCTTTTCATTTCCATGAACCAATTGTTTAATTATTCGTATCATTACTCGTAGAATTTTTTTTCTTTTAATTTAAAAAACTATATTGTATCAAAAAGAAGAATGACAAGAGACCAGGATCTCTTAATCTTACATGTGATGGCTCGTGAGATACTCTTCAATCCAACGTTGATCTCCGGATTTTAAGCGTAACACAACGCCCCTTTTGGTTGCACGCACGACGAATCTCATCATCGATCGGTCGTACGTATTAACATTCGATCTCCTCTCGATCCGGTCTTTCCCATCTCCCTCTGCCTCTTCCTTATCCTCGCTTTTTTCTTTTTCCCCGCGGTGCATTGATCCCAGAGATCGGAGTGTAATTAACTCGTTATATCTATCCTTTGCAACCCAACATTACGTAACGCTTCTATCTTTCCTTCCTCCTTTCGCCCCCTCCTTCCGTTTTAATTTCTCTCCTCGACTTTTTTCCCGATTCATTCCTTCTTTTTCTATCGGATAGGATAGATACACCATTTTTTCTTTTTTTTCTTCTTTTTTTTTTGTTGTTCTTTCGATTTCACGCGATTTCAAACGAGAAGATTTTTACGTTTCAGCGATGGGATCGAGTCGATCGCGAGTAGATTTGAACATTGAAGGAGGAGGAAAAGCGATAGATTTAAATCTGAAGTGAATGAATTCAGAAGTGAAAAAGAATTTAAATGGGATATAACATTAATAACAAATAGATAAATAGATATTTTGTATTAAAAATATTAATTTTTAATTCGTTTGAAATTTATCTTCTTGGCTGTCTTTGAAAATTCTTGTAATTGCAAAACTATATTTGTGACTATATTTGTAGAATAATATTATATTTTTCTTCAATTTCTTTGGAAACATGTTATATTTTCACAAATATTATTGGTAAGCAGTTAAAAATGGGAAAATTAAAATGGAATTAGAGGAAATTTTAATTATTATTTTAATTGTTTGTTCTTTAAAAATATAATCGAATATCTTTCTGCCTTCTTTTTTATACGATATTCGAGCATTATTTATAACAGGTTCTAAATATCGAAGTATATTATACAAGTAGATAATTCTGAGATTCTACGAGGATGAGATTATTTATTAATAATATTCAAATTTTATGGAATGAATTTTTTTTATATTGCACGTACTTTAGATTTATACTTAATTTAATCCTCAGACTACTCTTACGGATGAAAGAAAGTTGCCTCGAGTTTTTCCTTTTACTTTTTTCTAGATAATTCGAGGGACGGACGTCCTAAATCGAGGAGTTTTTTTTTTTAAGATGAACGACGTTTCTTTCCTTTAACTCAATAACCCTTCGTTTGATCCCTTTCGACACGCTCCGTTGCTTCATGGTTTTTGTTTTGCACTTGAACGACGAAAGAAAAGGAAACACTGATTATTGTGGACATCTTTTTCGATCAAAATGTTTCCGAAGACATTTTTTCATTAGTTTGATACAAATTTTGGTGGATCTTCCGTAAGAGGAAATGAAAAAAAAAAAAAATAGAACTTTGATGATGAGATAGAGAAATGGAAGTTTAATCAAGCATGATTACCTTTGAAATATCTTGGGAATATTAGATATTGGAAATTTGAAAAATTGGATATCTTCGAATATTTGAATATTTTAGATTTAATAAGATTTTCAAGACGCGTTAAAGATGAACGAGTTAAATGTAAAAATGTTCTGAATCTACCGAAGATCTATTGATCGAATAATAAAAGAATTTAGTAAATTATCCTGAAACTGTTATTTTTGAACACTAAATTGGAAGTGGTGCTTGATTTTACGTAATAGTTTTACACCTTTCTCTCTTTCAAGTAATCTCATCTCAAAGACTTAAGAAGGAGCAATTCAATTCGAACAAATTACTCAATCGATTAATGCATTTCAACCGGTCAACCTTTCACCTCCTAAAAGCTTTCAATCGAATCTTTTTATATTCGTTCCCTTTCAGCTCGCAAGCTCGAAAAGAGAGTTGAGATTCGGTCAGAAACATTCGATCCCGAGCAATTTCCTTGAGGGGACACGAAACACAATCGCATCGATCACGAGAATGAATTAATACGAGATCAATTACAAATTAAAAAATCCTCCCTCTTTAAAAAATTCACAAACTTTTAAAAGATTAAAAATTTCGCTCCACATCCTTTAAAAATTCCCCCGAACAAAATCCCGTCAAAAAAGAAAAAAAAAAAAAAATGTTCAAAATCATCTCGGATCTTTTTCCAAATTCCTATTCCCCTTTCGTCTGAACCGATGAGAATAAATCATCCTCTTCCATACCAGGCAAACCAGAAAATCCCCATCAACGTGAAAAGAATTCCCCCAACGTGGAAAAAAGAAGAAGAAAAGAAAAAAAAAATATCCCCAGATGAACCGGCGCTGAAGAACACGGTGCATTATTCTCGCGTCTCATCTGACGAGGACGCGATAAATCCCGACCCGGTTCCTCCTCCGCGCATCCTCGTCCCTCCTTCAGGTGTTTCCTCCTCGTGTCCCCCCGGTTTGTCTATATTTCACCTGGCAGGATTTACGTTTGGTCGCCGCCACCGTCGCCGGTGTTGTCGTTCGATGACCGGTCTCGCGGTTGCTCGCAGCTGCAGCTGCAGTTTCCTGGATCCCCGGCACCCGAACGATCCGCCGGCCATTTCTCTCTCTCTCTCTCTCTCTTTTCCTCTCCTCCTCCTCCTCCACCCTTCATCTTCCCTTCATCTCGCTCCTTCCTTTCCCTCCTCTTCCTTTCTTCTTCTTTCTCTCTCTTCTCCTCTTTCTTCTCCTCCTCCTCTCTTCTTCATCCCTGAGCAACGTGTGTCTACGTGCGCCCTCGTATCTACGCAGCGCAGGTATGTGCGCGCACACACCTGGAACGTGTAGAACCAGTCCGTGACGTCACGTGAAGGACCCACCGTGAACACGAGATCGTCCTGATTTCCGGGTTCGGCTCCCGGTGCCGGCCACGACGAACGTGCGCCACGACGTCGATTTATTAAATGCACAGCCGCGGTGGAGAGGTTACGTTATATTCTTGAGAGGTTGCGCTCGAGTTAGGCTAAATCGTAGCTGTCGCCACGACGATGGTGACAAAGTCGTTAAGGATCGTTTCATCCTGGGATGGGCGTGGATAGTGGTTGGATTCGTGGTTTCGAGGGAAAATTTTCGTGAATTTTGATAT